ATTTCTTATTTTATCGTGAACAGACGCAGGCATTTGATTTGTTCTTTGTTTGCGACACATTTTTTTCTCGGTTGTTTTTTGTTTGGAAATTCAAGAACTATGCACAGTATGCAAATCAATGGATTTGGTTCAATTATATGCATCTTGTCAAGAACAACAGCAGAAAAAAAACAATACTTTTGAAGCGGATAGCCTCTTTTTATTCAAACAATTCTTTGTTATTCATTTGAAAAGGATGTGATTTCCTTTACTTTGCTTTGCTTTGCTTTGCTTCATTCAGCACTCAAATTAGAATGAACCAGCACTGCTGCTGCCACAAATCAGAATAATGCCAAGCTTACATTAAACTGGAACATGTGTCATGTTAATCTAATTGAATTACGAAGTTTTGGTATTGAAAGCAACCAAGAAAAAAAGAATTCAAATGAACTCAAACTTGGTGTGTACGCAACATTGGTTCTCATCACTTGAAGAAGCATTATAATGAGCTAATCATTTTAATTGAATACATTCGAAAAATGTCACCATTTTATGTATGCGGCGGTGATGAATGACTTGAGTCGAGAATTCTTTCGGTATTCTTTCTGTTCTTGATTCCATACAAAACAAAAACCAAGATGGAGAAAAATGCCGAAATAAGGAATTCATGTAGTGTGGTGTGTCATGGGGAAAGCGATCGCTAAGAATGCGACACTAATGAAGAATTGTTGTGTGTATTCGAGTTTGAGAAAAAAAACGTGAATTAAACAGATGTAATTGCTACTTTGTGAACAAACTTTTCGACTCTTCATTTGCAATGGGGGAAAAAGAAGGATTGAGAGAATTCACACAAGTATCATCCACACATTCAGTTGGAGAAAATGTGGCTGATGATTAAAAAAAACCCACGCTAATGAAACTGCAACTGCCTGTTGGATAAGAGCCAAGTATCTGTAATGACAGCCATATATCAACGCATTACAGCCAGATATTTGCTTATGTGTTCGTTTTCATTCTTCGTACGCTTTTTTTCACTTACAGAAATTAACACTACGAGTGTCGCACACATGAATATATTCCAGTGCTTACTTTTTTTTGTCACCATTTCATTCTTTTCATTGTGATATGAATTTATGTCAGTGACTCTCCAAGCGAAACAGAGAGATAAGAGCATAAAGGGAAAAAGTGCATGTGAATAATTCAAGTATTAGTATGCAAACACATTTCGAATGTGTTAAAAACAAAGTTTACGAATCTTCGTCGCCTTTTTCACCGAGTACATCGGAATATGGTTTTCGTTTGGTTCGACAAAAGCACTTACTATGCGTATTTCTCTTGAAATAGCATTTTAAAGCAATTGAAATTTTTAATTTTAAAACTCATTTTGAAAAAACGAAGCATTTTTTTGTTATTGTAATTAAAAAAATGTAATCGCATCTCATTTTCAGGTCGACCTGCTTATGTATTGGCCCAAGAGTATTAGGGTTTTGGCGCGATCTTGGTCATAAACCAAATCATATGCTCTCTGTCTCGAAGCGAACGCGCTTGTTTTGCAGGAGGTTCAGATGTTTCACGACCACCTGCTTCATTTACATGGAAATCTTGCTAGAACTGGTTTTCAACTCTTTTAATTGTTTCCTAAACACATAGCATTTTTTCTGTATATTTTGCAACATATTATTGAATTCACTTCTAACAGTAAAGCCTATGTTTGATGGATATTTTTGGGTGAGGACCGTTTCAACAGACGTCAGTGCTTCAGTGCTGATATATACGAAACGATTTCAAAGGCTAAAAATAAGCCGAGTAGGAAATGATTTCTCGTTTCGAATCGAAAATGATCTGCTCGTATCACCTGCTTGTGTACAGTCGACCGTTTTTCGTTTGCACATGCATTTGAGATACGGGTTATTTTTTCAATCTTTTTTTTCTCTTCTGTCCATGTTTTGATACCATGGAAAAGCAATTGTTGAACGAAATTCAGTTGCAGCCGCACGTAGAATAATGAGTATTTATTATTCAATTCCACAACGATAAATTGCATCGGTACATTGCATTGCATTGCATTGGCGAATTGTTAACGAAGATTATTATTCTGGTTTTCGGCTGCAACATGGAAAAAAGGTAAACATTCACCATGATGTCGAAACGCATGTCCATGTTGTGTACGAAACTTTGGAAACTATATTGTGATTGATTTATTGCGACCGGTGGTGATGTTTGGTTTACGTTGCAGTACCCGTCACCATCACGTCATTGTGCAATGTAAATTTTCGGCCGAAAAAATGTCAATCGATTGTGTGCATCGGTGCTAATTAAGCCATAAAATGGCCTAAGGCTCGGCTCAAACATGCAACAAATTGCAGATGCAACGCATTTATATTCGATAATAGAGTATTATGAATTGAGTTTGCGTGTTGATCCGCTGGTTGTACGATTTATATGCCATTTTGACAAGAAAATAAAACGCTTCTTTGCATAATAACGCATCGGTCCAAAAATGCTCGGCACAATGGATGATCGGCGTACCAGTGACGAATCAGAATGAAACGAATTAAAAGCTATGTCAGCAACAAGCAGATGATTTCGTTGAATCAAATGATTTTGCTACTAAAATCGTCTCTGTTATGACACACAATGTCGACTCGGGCGAAGAAAAGGAAAATAAATTCTTACGAAGATGCAACAGGCCAATTTTCAATTCAAAGAAGGAAACAACAAGAACCCAAAAGTATGGCTCAAGCTAAAGTTCTGTTATGTATGGCTCAGATTTTTTTTTTCTCGTCTTCTTTTATTCCGTGTGCATTTTTGATATAAACATATGCCGAACAAGTAGCTCAACAAAAGTGCGATAAAACCAGAAGGAAGGCAAAAAGAAGAGACGAAGAAAATCAAGAACATATAGAGATGCAGTTCATCGGAAAATCAATGTTCATACAGCTATCACTCATCATAAGTAGGATAATATAAATGAAGAGAAAAGGACACCAAGATCAACAGATATGATTTTCAAAGTAGTTGGATTTTTTTTTATTCTTCATCTTCCAATGCGTGTGTCTGGCTCGGTGCAAGCGTATGTCTGAGCATTCTTCTGACATGACACACACACTGTTCGATGCAGCACAGTAAAACTGCACAGCAAAACACATTCTAATAAATCCAAAGCGTATATCATTCGAATGCATTGTTTGAAGCGTTTATGTGCGAGAGAGAGAGCATGGCACAAAGGCCAAGCGGAGGAGAGCAGTTCAACGAAAAAACGAAACAAAAATCAAAGACTGACAACGAGCAAGCAAAATGTATAAGTAGATTAATGAAAAAGAAATAAATTTTCGGCTTTTTTCTCGTCTTTCTACCACTCTGTGTCAGGGCAATAACGAATGTGTGCGTTCGATTTTTTTTTCTCGTTCGGTAAACGCATCGAATGCGCTGTTACATGGCCGTATGTTTGTATGCATTCTGATATATTTTATACAAAACATCTGTCGTTTTATTTCTCTGTCTCGTTTTGCCTGCGTTTCGGTTTTTACCGAAATCACACAAAAAAACGATGCATAAAAAAGAAAAAGAAAAGGAAGAAAAAAAAACCAAAACGATTTAAAATAAAACATAAGATTTTGCTCGTAAGCAACCCATGGTGTTTCTATTAATGGACTCTTCCTTGGCTTGAGTCTTCAGTCATCCTTAAATCTATCTCAAACATGACGTGGAATATTAATTTTGGTTAAGGGTAAAATCGGGTTTTTGTAGTGATTTTTCTTCAGAACTTTTTTATGGAACAGAGAGTCAAATTGGTGGCATTCGAACAGCATGCGCGCGTGTACCTTCGCTACATCGTAAGTGTTGTGTGGAATGATTCGGCGGTCTCTCTTCTTCTGTGGTAGAAGAGAAGGAAGCGAAGCATCTTCTTAAAGTATAAACGGCAGATACCACACGTTCAACGTCTTGAGTTTGGCACTCAGTGGCAGCCAATTATTTTCAAACACATAACAAAAACCGTTAAGGTTTGGCGTGCCAAATTTGTTTAAACTCTGCATCTGACGAATTTTTTTTGGAGCAGATAATGAATCGCTCGTCGTACAACGTTGAATGTAAACTAATTTCGAGTTACACCAATTACCATTGATGGACTCTGTTCATGCCAAATTGCAGCATTGAAGCCTGCACACACAGTCGACACTTGCTCATTTGGCAAATGCCGAAATGCTGGCATACAAATGGTGCAAAAAAATGACTTTAACCAATTAAATGAATAAATTTTATAAAGCGACTATCAAATGTGCTCATTTTTGTTCATCGTAAAAAATATGAAAAATTATACGTTTTCATGTGATTATTATTATAATTGCGGGCCAACACAATAAATGGAGGACTCTTCCGATCGAAGATAAGATAGGTAATCGATGATGTATCCTTTGAGCATTTTCCATTTATGTTTACTATAATTTCAATGGGCCTGTGTTCAATGAGCGCCTGATTGCACTGCGTCCACTTTATTTGTGGCAAATGAAACGCGCGTACCTGAGGACTGTGGTGCGCAAGCATAGCACGATTCGGGCGCGCAGCATAATGTACACGTGACCATGTGCACTTATTCCTACCTCCTTTTTGTATCGTCTTCGTGATTGTGATTATATTTATTATTGAAATTCCACGCACTCCGAGTTGGTTTTTTTTTTCATTCTGTATTGACGCACAAAAGAAAGTATCACCTGGCAACTTATTTCGTGTTTTTTTTAGCTAAACATTTATTCATGGTTTTGAAATTCATTTACTACGCTGCATTCCATTTTTTTTTCCTTCGGCGACGACATTTGATTTCCTATGCTTCATTCTTATCGTATTTTTAGAATAAATTCTATCTGTATTTCATTGTGATGACAAATTTATGAAATTCCTAAGCATACATGAGTTTACCCTCTACTGTATTTTTCACACTTAACTTTAATTTATTTTGAGTTTTCCATTTTAGGACGGAAATGCTTGAAAAATGGTGTTTAACCAGCAATATGCAAACTTACCCATAGAGAAGTGCTGCACCGGCGATTCCACCGCCACAATGAGCGGTGATGTACATGGCAGCACGTAGCGGAGAAATTGCACCGATTATAACCATACCAAAGGTAACAGCTGGATTAATATGAGCGCCTAAAAAGAAGAGAGAAGAAGAAACGAATCGAAATGTGAAATTGTGAAATAGATGCGGCGGATGCAGTGCAAATGTACGCACTGGTTGAATTCGTTGAAAATGTGCCGGTGTTTCCATACACAGACACACATATACACAATGATGGATGTAATTGGATACATTTTTCGAGTGAAACGAGATTATTTTCCGTAGCTGCCGGTGGACGTTCATGACAAGGTAATTCGAACGCAATTCATTCGTTTGACACGTATATTTATGGGTCAAAAGCAAACTTGAACTCAAATGCAAGGTACACATTGAGGCCTTAAACGGATGGCAATTATTAGAAATGAAGGCAGAGAAGAGAAGGGACGAGAGAGAAAAAATTCCCGAGCGAAGAAAGTGACATGAAAGAAATTCCCGAATTGCAATTACACCAACCAAAAGCGCAGTGAAAGCAAATACAACATGAAATTGGAATATTTAATTGAAGCTGGGTGCACTTTCTGTGCTGTTGCCTTAAGCTGCAATAAAAAAAAATTAAGTATTTACAATGCGTTTACCAATAACAAGAAGAGAAGAAAAAACGAACGTTGGTTGGGAATCATCCAGCATTTAAAATGAAATGAAATGCGTAAAAGTGGAAAGGTGAAATTATATTAGATCGCAATATGGTCACCGTTCGAAACATATTGAAAGCACCGACATGCACACAAAAAAATAACCATATACCATCACTCAAAAGGGACACACATGCAAGTTAAACTGTGCGCTATTGTTTTCAATTGTTGCTTGTTTTTTTCCTCCTTCCTCTCTGTTTATGCTAAGAGAATCGTTTGCTTTATGATTTTTTTTTAACCTGATATATGCGAGAAGCATTGTGTTAGAGTGGTCACAACGAATCCAGATGACAGTGCCGTTGCCAGCAGAACAGATGAAACCGATGCACCCACACCAGCTCCAGCTGCTGCACCGCACACAATGAACACGTACAAAAACGATGCCAAACACTCGGCTATTATCGACCTAGAGAGAGAGCGAAAGAGAAAAAATACGATCTTTTTTAGAAAACCAAAAAATTGCATCGCTTTTATGAAATCTATTAAAAACATTTAATTAAAGAAGAATTAAACCATTTTGGAGTATCAAATTGTTCATAAGTTGTGGTCTTTTTTTAACAATCATTTTTTTAAAAAATGAATAAACAATTTTAAATGGTATGGAAATTAATTTTGGTTCCTTGAAAACGCGTAAAATGGAAAACGCGATGGAAAACCGAGAAAAATACATAAAAATTAAACAAAAAATTGAAGTGGGTCAATTTCGAATTTCCATTTTTATAGCTTCGTTTATCCGTGCGTTATAATTACGATCAACACTAATTGATATGAATGATGCATTGAAATGACCTCGACGGGCCATACGCATATGCTCTTGTACCTTTTTTTTATTAATTTGGCTTCATTTAATTTTTCGATCGAACCAACATACATGATTTATTAAAAGTGTACTCGGTGACAGATGAGCACGGACATGAAATGTTTCAATGTTGGCCTTTTCGTTTTCAATTCGAACGCACGGACGATATCATTGAAGCTTGTACTTTTCATTTCTTCTTTAATCTCATTTCAATATAGTTATTGTTGTCGCGTATGGAAATTGCGGCTTTCCATAAGGCTAAAAAATTAATAGTCGACGAAACCTGATTATGCAGATGTTTTCACTACGTCGATGTACTCCAATCGATTTAAATGAACTTGAATGACAAAAAGAGCCTTGGCAGCAAGTAATTCAGTTGACCATTTTAGATGAAAATGGAACTAAACGAGGAATTTTGTTATCTTTCGAATCGAAATTGTGAGAAATAAATGATCGTGTTGATTTGTCACAATCAAATTTAAATTGTAAAACAGAGAGTTCCTCAAATCATAAAATCGAAGAGTAAACTATGAATTTCAACAGTCTATCTTTGAGACAAAGGATACGAGCATAAATAATTTGTATGCACTTGGAACTACAGGAAGAAGCATTGATGGGATCTCACGATATGTTACTGTGACTTGGAATGACAAAATGGTTTATTCATAACATTTGAACCGTTCTGGCGACGTCTACGTAACGTCGATGATTGAATCGTAAATGAATTTCAATTTGGCTCGTTTTGAACAGCACATTTCCTATGAAAATTCATAGATCTTGCCTGGGGTAAATGAACAAACAAAGATAAGACATAATATTTGTTCTTCGATTTGCTTGATTGTTCCGAAATTTTAACAATGGTTTGTTGGTTTCGACGCTACGGCCCAAAATAACCATTTCAAATGAGATTGATGGGCCTAAAAGCGATGTACGGTCATTTATTTACTCGTGGTTTAACTTATCAGCACGATAGATATTTTGTCTTGTTGTTTGGGATGATGCTGCTTATTTTGTGGTTTTCAAAATGTAACAAATTCATTGCAGAATAAACACTCGACCGATTTTCTGCAACGGCGTATTCTTTTTCGAGAAAAAAAACGGGTATATATTTGGCACACATCGCAAAAGGATGCGAATTGGGAATTCCCGAGATTATTTTGGCAAACCGAAAAATAGGACAGAAGACTGAAACTAGGATTATGATTTGTGAACACCAACAATGGCAATAAAATTATTCTTGCAAATATTTCCGCACAATAAATGCGGATAATAATGACATACCTCCAAAATTCCAGAGTCCGAATTTCAGCTTGCATATTATATTTTGCCTTCATAGACGATAATCGTCCGCCAATGCGATTCCCATGCGAATCCTTGCGCATTGACTCAAGTCGTTGGAATAACGTTATAATATGATAATCAAGATTTTGATTTGTCGGTAATTGTTGTAAGCTTTCGTCAGCCATCGTGCCACAAAATATCTCTCTCACACAATTCAAAGTAGAACAATTGCAAACACTAAATTTATTTCAATTAAAACTGATTGTCTTCGCTATTTCAAATAATAATTTATTGTCGTTGTGGAAAAATGCGCTAAGTGCTCACGATTTGATTGAATGAAGTAACGAATTTGAAACACGGAGACAACCCGAAGAAACTCAACCGATCAGATCAACAGTCGAAACGAATCTGATTCTGCACACACTTTTTACTGAAACACTGACGTCTGACTGCACGAAATGAATGACGATGAAAGTAGGAGAACGAACGATATGTGTACGCACTGTTCAAATGCAGAGCATCGAATGAGCAGCACACCGAACAGACAGTCGACAAGAACGGGGCGAATGAAGGAAGTCGTGTTGTGTGTGCGTCGTGCATATAAAAGGGAAAAGAGTACTACACAATGATTTCGTATGTCACACTGCCGAGCCAGCATACTGCATACGAGCGATGCAGAAGCAAAGTGTATGGCGATATATGATACGTTTAAATATGAAATATGAAATGCATATATGCGAACGCATCATCAACACTGCCACCAAAAAACAACAACTATTTTGTTAATAACGAGGGTGAAATATAAAGGAGAAAAAAATGAGCTATGAAAAAAAGAGCCGAAAGATAAGTAATTCACGTTCCACTGTAGTAACATGTGAGCACAATAGTTCCGACAGATATTAGATGCGTTCGTCTTACGTACGGCATTTCTTATTTTTTTCTACCGTATGATGCGTCTTTTTAGAGCATAGAACACGGAATAAAAATATCAACACAGAAATTGTGCTGTTCAATGAACTGATATTTGATGCATTGAAATCATCAACTTCGTTGCATTCGATGGATCTTGTGACATAATCGCTTCTGACACCCAATTTAAATATGATCGACATTCTGTAACGTCATTTGGAAAATGATCGATTACCGCAACATTTGAAGATATATCAAATTCATCTTGGAATGAATGGCTGGAGACAGATCGCATCAACCTTGAACTTTCGCCAACCATCAATTTTAAGATCTATAATAGATTTTAGGATAATTTTTAACATTAAGAGTACTTGTCAAGTATTACTAGATTAAAAAAAAATCTTAGGAAAAAATCATGGGTCAATCACATAAGGCTAAAAGTCTAAGTTTGGATATTTATTCAACACCGGTACACCATGGTGTAGTAACATCTTCATCGACTTTAAAATTCGTTTTCTTCACAATTCTCTTACATTCTCGTACAGCCTTTGTAATATATACGTTTGATTTCTACATACACACATGAGCGCCATCTATTGAAGGGATTTGGAAAAAGGTTTGTGTAGCCACTAATCTCAGTTTTTCACAATGCTACCCAACCACGAATAAATGTTTGTGTTTTCTGTAGATTTTATGGCATGCAATAAAGTAAATTAGAACGAACCTCAAAGAAATGAAATGTTACCTCAAGTCTCTTTATTTTCAAAGCGTAAATATGAGGAAGCTACCAGCGATGATTCAAGTTGACAAAGTTTGCGTGCGAGAAGTGTAACAACAACACTGTTGGTTAGACTGCTTCAAAAAAAAAAGTTGTCCCTCATCTGGAATGTCCGGCCAGTTTCGAAAA